TACCTCCAACCGCTATTTAGAGAAGAAAACCTCAATGCTAAGAACAGGAAACTGATATATAACCAAACAATTTGTCCGTCACTTCTATATGGATGTGTAGCGTTTAGCAAAGCTTCAAACACTACTATTCACCAGTTAGAAACTGCACAAAGCCAGGCTCTGAGAAGACTTTTCAAAGTTTCTTGGTATATTAGGACGAATGACATCCTCAGGGACCTCAAGATTGATCCCATCAAAAAATACATAAAGGATAGAGCCCTGAAATTATTTGCGAAATCTGACAGACTTACTAACACCGCGTTATCAAATCTCAGAATGGTTACAGGCTCTTCGGGGACATATGCAGATCTGAGGTCAACTATTGCTTAGTCTGATGAAGTGATAAACAATAATCCAGTCAAGGCGCAAAGAGAGGTTTTGTAGAAACCTCGCAGTTAATAGAGAGTAAAAGTGATCAGGTGCACTGATTCAACTCAACTAGCCTCAACATATATATATAATAAGGGAAGATCATGTTTCTAAAATGAGTATGGAATTTATTTATTATATTTGATTCACAAAGAAATGGTCTTATCTTATAAATCAGCAGACTGCGGTCTTATTATTAAATTTTAGAATATCGTGGTAAACAGCTAAGATTTTATAGAACAATGACATAAAAATCGAGAGACATAGATATTGGCACTACATTTTACTTAGATTGATTTGGTTCGCCTTTTTGATAATCTCCCTCAACGGGTGAGGTTTTTGGCAACCTTGCACTTCTACCCATTATTTTAAAGGTAGAATACATTTTGTTTAGTTAAGGCGTGTTATATATCTTATAGGATCTTATTTCTGTTTTTATTTAGAACCAATATACTTATATTTAATTATTGGAAATGTTTAAGTCAGATTTATTCAGTAATTATAAAGTTTTCTTGTAGTAATTCACAAAGTCTCATATTGTAGGGGGAATTAAGTATATTCGAACTAAAACCTTTCAACACCTTAAAAGCTAAATTGTTTAAGGAAAATGATTTATGTATATATCCTTAAAAGAATATATATTTTTGATTTCTTAAAATACACTAAAACTTCAAGTTATTAATTAATTAATTATTAATTTTATGTATACGTGAGTTGTGACGAAAATTTTCTACTATCCAGTTTTCAGGCAGATGATTCCTTCTGTTAAAAATTTTTTAAGTACCTATAATCTAGTTTTTTTTTTTTTATTATACGCTACGACAATAAAAATATTAACCATATTGCATTTAACACAATATATTTGGATGATGTTATACATTCTGTCTTCAATAAGCATGTAGAGATTAACTTGTTTTTATATTGCAGAATTCATAAATTATTATTCACGCTAATATTTTTCAATTTAATAGGTCAAGAAATATCAATAATAGAAATCAATAAAATTAATAGCAATTAGGAAGTATTAAGAAGTGTTGATATATAATCGATTTGCATAAAAAATTCTAATATTTCAGCGTTGATTCTTGGTATAAAAAAAACTAACTGAGAATATTATTAAATGTTTTTAAAGTTAACTTTAACAAAAGATTAAACAAATTAGGTTAGATATTTGTAAATGATAAATGATATTTTAATTAGTTCAGCGCTACTGAAAATGGTACCATAAGAATGTATAGTATGCGTTAGGATACAGCTTAGTATTATGGAAAGTTTTGAAAATACAAATTCTATCAGGGAAAATCCTAAGAAGTTATGCTCAATATGTTCCACAAACGAATATCATCAGAAATATCACTGGAAATGAATATTCCAAAAAAAATTTTTTCTATCTGCACATGGTCGAAGACATCCTTTCGAATGTGTGCCCTCAACTCTGTTTAATTTTAAACAGAGTTGAGGGCACATTAATAATAAAACTTACATTTACTGAGGAGTTCACATATGTTCAGGTATATAGTTTTAATATATATATAGAGAATCTTCTCATTATATATGAAGGTTGGCACATATATTTTTAGGCTAAAATTTCAAGAAATTTTTACAAGGTATGTGGACTTAGTTGTGAGACACACCTTTCTGTTATATAATTGAAAATTTTGACATAAGAAAATATTCTATATTGGTTATACCAATTAATCCTATAATAATTCCAGTCACTTTATTAATGTTTTCAATAAATGTAAGTTGAACTAAATATGTTCACATTTCTCTCCCCTGATTATTAGAATGAAGTTTCTTCAATGCTGTGGAAATCTTCTTCATTCATTCCTAAGAGGTGATTTTAGTGGGTTCAAGTCTCACATGAAAAAAGGGGAACTAAACTTTTACAGAAGAACAATTAGAAGAGCATATCAAAAATAACTAAAAAATAACTAAAAAATAAAATTAATTTCTTTTTGATTCGAATGGCTACAAAACAAAAGTTTTATTCATATATAGCGATAAACTTTACAAATATTTTTTCCGATATTTAAAAAAATTTTTTTTGAAATTGCGGTACAAAAACTCAGTTTTTAGAAAAGGAATAAAAAACAGAAAGACGATTCAAAACGAAAATACTAGAAACCGGTAGGCTCCAAAAAATGAGAAACCCGCAACAATATATGGGGAAAGAAGGTCCAAAATGAATTGCAACGATCACAGTAGGAACTGAAAACATTTGTTGACGAAAGAGATAGATGAATGAAACTTGTCTCTGCTTACATACTAGCTATTCACAGTCATTATAATGTTATATTACATTATTATTACTCACAGCCATAAGTTTTAGAATGATAAGAATAACAAGAATCAGTCCATTAGTTAGATATGAGTCCATAGGGTCTGATTAAAATTTTTAAAACTGGTAGCATTAAAAATAGATAAGGAAACTTTTAAAACTTATAGTGCTTCTAAATGGATTCCAGTAAATGTAAGACTATAAGTATTAAATGTGAGACTTTGGTTGAATTAGTATTTCATGCGGGCCATTGAGATGATTCTACGTTTTTTGAGGTTCTTAAAATTGACATGGTTCTCAGCTGTGTTTCTATATTTTTGAAGTCTAATGAGCCCTCAAAACGTTATTAGCGTAGAATGCATACATACAGAAAAATATTAGAAAAACTTTATACGGCATTGAATACCTTCTGAAGGTAAATGGTAGTTACCAGTGGCATCATCTTATAGAACAAGATGAACTTTATGTTACTTATGCCCTTCATGAGTATCTTTGTAATTGCATTGTTTGAGCAAGACCCTTTTTCGGAAATTACTTTATTATTTTTATGAATTGAAAAATTTACATAATTTTTATGTTAGCAATATTCTATAAATACTAGAGATGAATTAGTTATAAATTGGTTATATACATGGTCATAAGGTGGTTATAAATAATATGAATTAATTATTATTATTATTTTCTTAAATAGTTGGTTATTATTAATAAAACAGTAATATTAAATTGCAATTAAATAACATGTATGAAAAAGGTTCCACACATAAGAAAGAATATATAAATCATGCAACAAATAATGCCTCTACAAATAGAATAGTATTAAAATTTAACAATTAAAAATAAAAATATGATTAATTAATTCAATTATTTTACAGCTGGTTTAAGATTTCGTTCCAATATAAACACAGCTAGTAAATAAAACTTTCATTGCAAATTAGTAAAACTCCAGGAAAATGTGCTAACATAAAAGTCAAGTACGGCTTCGGGTTAGTTGGCTTAGAAGCGCTGACTCTGAGCTTCAAAATTTGGCAGGGCACAAGTTCGATTCCTGGTGGCAGTCTCAAAAGAAAATTATTAACGAATAATTAAATACAAGAATTATTTCCAAGACCACTGATGATAGCTATTTGGCAATACTCAAAACAACTGTATGATCAGCCAAAAATTCAATTAATTAAAATTATATAAAAAATAAAAAATGTTTAAGGGTAATTTAAGGGTAATTAAGGGTAATTTTAATTGTGTTTTCAGCACAGTGTTTGAAGAAAAAAAAAATAAATAAGACACATAATATAAAGAAATAACTATAGTTCATATATATAAGGATTTATAGTTTTTTGTTAATATATTCATTTTACAATATTAAGAGTGTTATAATAGTATAACCTTCAACTTAAGAACCTGTTATATCTTTCGATTAATTTTTTAAGATGTTTGATGATGTCATAAAAAATCCTCAAAATTTCTGAATGATCCCTTTTTAATTAAAAATTTTTTTTTAAATAAAATGTATAATTTTTTCTTCATCTGCGCTCCACTCAAAAGATTAATACATTTATTTTCTCAAAAGACAACAATTTTTGAAGTTCAAGTTCAGTGAAGCTGTGAAGTCGATTTTATGGATTTCAAGCCGAAACTAAATGGCATTCATTTACGGATTTATTTATTGTTTTGTATCTTTTTTGAAGCGAACATGGTTAATTTCATGTCTAAAGCGTGTGTACGCAGCCCACACAGTTGAACTTCACAAGACAAAATGATTTATGCGTTTAAAACTTTTTTCCCAACATATTAAGAATTTGACAAACAATTATGATTTTTGTTTTATTATTATTTAATTTTATTTTATTTTTTTCATATTTATTATTTTGTATTTAACAGCATTCATTTGCACTTAATGCACATAAAAAGTCATTACCGACGGGTCAAAAACAATCATAAAATTAACACTTTTTCTTTTTCTGAGTAACTTAAACGAACTTAACAAAAACTGGTCTCACGTGCGATTCATATTCCAGCTCATTTCTAGAATTTGGATGGACGATATCTCTGTTGTTGTACCTTATACTGATGCTGCACGTTTTGTTGCTGTGCACCACCACCTTGTCTTTCCTCTTGGTTGGGATGTGTGCGTATGTATTCCAAAGCTTTCAAGATTGCAGCTGGAATTGGTGGTGGAGTTGGTAAATGTTCGCCACTGGGATGGAAGCCATTTTCATCAGCGGTGTAGGTGAGTTGTATCAATTGACCTTCCGGTGAGTAATAAGCGGATGAGCCGCTAGCGTAGTAGCCACCGACACCGGATTCCTGTGCAGCAATGCCATTTGATGTATCATATTGGTAAGTGTAGCTGCCATCTTCCTTTAAGTCACTCTTGAAACTGCGCGTTTCAGCGGCTGCATCGTAGGCATTTGGAAGGGCCTGACTGCAAGCGATGAGTGCGGCTGTTGCAATAATGAACTGAAAAGATTTGAGTTGAGACTTAGTTTTAAATTTTATTTATTTTTGGAATTCAAAATATGCGAATGCAAGTGCAACTTACAAACTTGTACATTTTGGCTGTTTTATGTTGTGCTGTTTTCTGATGTTAACACTTAAAGGTCTTAACAAGAATTAATGTATTCCAATGTGTCCGCCCTGGCATTTATATGAAGAGCGTTTCGGCAGTGATCTTGGTTCGCTACAAATTTGGTTACCTTTTGTTGTTGTCTTTTGATGCCAGTTGTTATTTTTTTTCTTATATTTCATTCAAGCTGCTCCCATAAATTTAGAGGCTTACTTACTTCTTTTTAGTCATTTTATTGCCGTGTTAGTTAAGTTATGTTTCAGATTTGTGGTTATTTTTTTTAGTTTTTATTTTGCCATACATAAAATTTATCAATGGGTGCTCATTTATGATGAATTCATATTCAAAATAGTACTGAATATGAAAAAAAAATTAAAATTTAAACACATTTCTATAGAAATTCTAAGTAATTCAAAAAAAAAAAATAAATAAAAGTGTTGTCAATTAAGATTTTGCACTTTATAGATCATCAATATCCGGTCAAAAATAGTTAAGTAAAGCACATTATGTATTAAATCCAAAGACGGTTGGAACTGTAATACTATATTATTTGAATTTAATGAATAATGAATAGCTTAAATAATATTAGAGGGAAGTTTTAGGATCTTATCTGCTATCATTAACCTTAGCAGCAAAGATATCAAATTCTACACTGAACTTCTTATAGGACACTGTAAACTCAATTACAACATGAAGAATATAGGTGCAGTAGAAAGTGATTCCGATCGACTCTGTCATGAGGAGAAGGAAACAGCAGAACATGTCCCATCTTGGTCACAAATAGTTGAAATTAGGCCCACAGCAATTACGAGATTTATAAATAGTCTAAAATTGTTTTAGTTGGACAATAGATTTTTTTGGTCCGGGTGCATAGCCTAATATTTAATAAATAATATTATAATAATATTATAATATTATTTTATAAATAAAGTCTTATCTTAGTCTTATCAACATCTTGTTATATGATTGGATATATATAATCGTATTATTGCACATACAAACTGATAAACTATGATTGTAAATATTATTATCCCAAGCAATTAGAAGGTATAATACAGAATTCAAAATGGTCAGTTTAATGTACTATATATAGGAGATTAAGTCATCCTTTGTGACTCAATATAGAAAATAATATTTAAATAGTTATTATTGTTGAAAGAATACATATTATATTAATTAAAAAAAAACGAAAATCAGTTATTACTTTCAAATTATTATATTTTGTGTATTATTAAACATTTATTTTGTCATCTTTAAAGTAGTACCAAAGATTACTGTGGAATATAACTACACTAACGTTTGAACCTATCTTTAAACCTTTTTTGTATATGTAATAAGATTTGTTCTGCAGTTTTTTAATATCATATTCGAGTTAAAACGTTTTTTCCGAAGTGAAAAAATTAGTTTTAGCTATGTTGGATTAGTTAAAGATTTCGCAAAAACTTTCGTAGTATAAAGGCTTACTGCCATATCAGAATACTTAATAGTATAATTGCAAAAATAGTTAACACATTTGGCAACAGAACGCCATCTCAGAACACTCAATAGTATAATTACAAAAATAGTTAACACACTGGATAGCAGAACGCGCTGAAATTTCGAATAATATTGCATTACAGAGCTAGCAGTTTTTGAAAAAAAAATTTGTGGTATTATCTTTTCTTCACTTTTTTGAAATTCAAAACTGCGGATATTTTCGACACAAAATATATAATGTCTAAAATAAGTTAAGTTATAAGAATTTGAATGTTAATTAAAATAATGAGAGCTTTCGAAAAGTAGTGAACTACAACAACAAAAACTCTTTTTTATATTATTTTAATTAATTAATTATTTAATATTATTTAATATTTGACTAATCACACAGTTGTTTCGAGTATTTCCAAATACCCATCATACTTAACTATTCGTAATTAGTTTTTTGAGACTGCAAATACCAGGGATTGAACTCGTGCCCTGCTAAATTTAAAGCTTAGAGTCAGCGTTCATTAGCTAAAACAAAATAAAAAAATGAGATAAATTAATAAGGTTGTAATAAGACACCTATTGTATACAATCCATTTCGTTTACAAGTTAATTATATTAATTGTGCTTATAATAATATTAAATTTTAAATGTTATAATGATAATAATTGTAGTATAAAATATACAAATAAAAAATTGTAAAATATACAACTTTTTCATACTGAATCCATATAAATTTGCATTTTAATAATATACTTGATAAGATTGGAAGACATTGGCAATATTAGCAATGTTGTAATTTGTCTAAAAATATTGAGATTATGCAGTTGGAGAGGTTCATTTATTTGCATTCTTATACCACTGATAAGATTGTATGGCTTTACCAATATAGGCGAGATTATAATTGTATTTTTATTTAGAATTTAGTTGCACTAGTAGTTTTTGATAAGACTGAATGGCATAAGCCATGTAACATAAACGAAATTAGTAATTGTCTTTAAATATTTGTATTATGTACTTGCAATTATTAATATATTTGCACTTTAATAATTCTGATAAGATGAGTTCATATTGATCATATATATGACATTATTAATTGCTTGAAAATATTTGTATTTTCCTCCGTGCCTTATAAATTGTATTTTCTAAGTATTTTTATACTTTTGAAATATTCATTAATAAAGGATGTATTAAGTTTGTTAAGAAATTTGTGAAGTGATTAGAAACCATATATATATGATTAATCAGTATAATATTATGAAGTAATTTTATGATGTCTATCATTTTATCCTTCTATAAGTCCAACTTAATACGAATTATATACCAATTAGTCATATAGGTGTGAAGCTAATCCAATTAACCTTGCATAGAGGCTCTGATGAATTCAAATAGCTTTAATTAATATATTGTAAAATTATAATTGTATATATTATATTACTATATCATCTATATCATCTCTCTGCTATACGAAAAGTTATTAAAAATTAGCTTGATTTTAAATATGTATAAGAAACAGATAAAAATCGTTAAATTGACCAGGTTTTAATTTTTATATTTTATTACCTTTTGTTATCTATTATTACAATAATAAATAGATTTCAAATCGACGACAATTACAGACACAACTGGTTTCCATTGACAATATCATTTACAAAATTTAGTTAAATAATTTTGAATAATCTATAAGTATTACTGATATCTCTCGCAAGCTAAGGCACTTTAACTATATATATGAGAAACGCCATGAGTACGAAGAGAGCATTATTATTTATAAAAAAATAATACTGTTATATCACGCTTAGAGCTTGATTACAATTATATGTTACTTCAGATACAGTTTATTCATAATAGCTATTACCATATTTTTTAACTAAAATTCTAAGTGATTGGATAAAAATCAAATGACAGTGATACTGTGAGTCAGCTTTGAAATTATTGGCAGGATATTTGATGAGACTTCTTGACTTGAATTGTTATGCCAAAAAGCGTCTTAGGTGACATAAAGTCGTCACTGTCTGGAGAAGGGCATGCCTTGCAATCACATTTTATGAAAATATTAGGCTTTACTCTGGATCAAAAGGAGCTACGAGTTTCATTTAAACTTTGTGATAATCATTAAAAACGCTGAAGGTCTTTCATTCTTTTAGAATTAGTTGTACCACATATCGAACGCGCTTAGTCCTAATGTGAAGCGAAATTCCTATTACTGATATTTTTTGGTATAATGATTCTTTATGTCTTTATGGTATTGCATACATATGGTATATATATATACACGGTTGTCACTTATGGTATTTTAGTACCAAAATTGGTACTTTTTTTTCGTTTGGTACTCATGTTCAAATAATGTTAAATTTTTGACGACCCAACTTTATTGTGGATATTTCCAATTAATTTTTTTTATAAATGCAACTTTGCACTATTTTATATTTTGTTCATTTATAACACTATGAAAAACACAGAACGAAAAAATAAAAAGGTCCAAAAAAATTTTAGACCTTTTTTTACAGAAATGGTACCTTTTTAAACCAATTTTGGTACAGGAAAAAATTTTCCAGTGGCAACTGTGTATATATATAAGTAATGCAGTTTTAATAAAAACCTTGACTTATAGAATGCGGCTGTTATTATAGTTTATCTTTAAGAAATAGAACCTTTGTTTCTATAAATAATAATATTTTTTTTTAATATTTATGCAATTATATGTTGAAAAATAATTAATGCATTCACTTTATACTGCCGCTTCTTACTCGGTATATAATCTTATATTCATAACAAATTCATAGCAGTTTAAAAATAATTTATAAATAATCTAACTTTAGTTAGATATTTAAACAATAGTAATTAAATAAAATTAGTGGTCTTCCGCAAACACAGCATTGCAGTACTTAGTTACTTTTTTATATTTATCGCATTAGCTGAATACATTAATAAAAAATATAATAATTATTATTATTTTTATTAAATTAAAAACAATGTTCATTATTAAGATAAAAAGAGTCTCTGTAAGATCTTGCAAATAAGACTCACAAACTGTAATTAATGTCTTAATAAAAACAGTAAAAAGATACTGGGTTGATACATGAGTACGCTCGAAAAAAAAATATATCGAAACTTGGTATAAAAAA